GTTGTGTGCCTGAAATCTTTTTCGGTAAAATCCAGTCTGGTACAGCATGAACGCGTACACACTGGCGAGAAGCCGTACAAATGTGACGTGTGTCTAAAAAAATTTTCGCAAAATGGAAACCTTGCAGTACACAAACGCACGCATTCTACAGAAAAGTCATATAAATGTGCTGTATGCCTGAAATCTTTTTCATCAAAATACTATCTGGTAACGCACATACGCATGCATACTGGGAAAATGCCCTACAAATGTGTTGTGTGCCTGAAATCTTTTTCAGCAAAAGCCTATCTGGTAAGACACGAACGTATTCACTCTGGCGAAAATCCCTACAAATGTGCTATATGCCTGAAATCTTTTTCATCAAAATCCTATCTGGTAACGCACATACGCATGCATACTGGGAAAATGCCCTACAAATGTGTTGTGTGCCTGAAATCTTTTTCGGTAAAATCCAAACTGGCCATACACGAACGCACGCATACTGGCGAGAAGCCTTACAAATGTGCTGTGTGCCTGAAATCGTTTTCATTAAAATGTAATCTGGTAGCACACGAACGCTTGCATACTGGCAAAAAGCCCTACAAATGTAGTGTTTGCCTGAAATCTTTTTCGGTAAAATCCAGTCTGGTACTGCATGAACGCGTACACACTGGCGAGAAGCCATACAAATGTGACGTGTGTCTAAAAAAATTTTCACAAAAAGGAAACCTCGCAGTACACGAACGCATGCATTCTACAGAAAAGTCATATAAATGTGCTGTATGCCTGAAATCTTTTTCATCAAAATACTATCTAGTAACGCACATACACATGCATACTGGCGAAAATCCTTACAAATGTGCTGTATGCCTGAAATCTTTTTCATCAAAATCCTATCTGGTAATGCACATACGCATGCATACTGGAAAAATGCCCTACAAATGTGCTGTGTGCCTGAAATCGTTTTCAGTAAAATGTAATCTGGTAGTACACGAACGCCTACATACTGGCGAAAAGCCCTACAAATGTAGTGTTTGCCTGAAATCTTTTTCGATCAAATCCTATCTAGTAAGACACGAAAGCACGCATACTGGCGAAAGACCCTACAAATGTGTTGTGTGCCTGAAATCTTTTTCGATAAAATCCAAACTGGCCATACACGAACGCACGCATACTGGCGAGAAGCCATACAAGTGTGACGTGTGTCTAAAGTATTTTAGCCAAAAATCTCACCTTACTGTACACAAACGTGTCCATATTTCTGAAGAGTGTAACGAGTGCATAAAATCCCCAAAAGACCACCTGGCTGGACACAAATGTGTACACACCGAAAAAAGGACATACAAATGTGACGTGTGTCTCAAGGGTTTTACACAAAGTTTTTCCCTTACCCTTCACAGACGTATCCATATAGGAGAAGAATGTAAGAAGTGTTTAAAATATTTCACTCGAAAAGACTACCTGGCTGGACACAAATGTGTACGTACCGAAAAAAAGCCATACAAATGTGACGTGTGTCTAAAGGATTTTACACGAAAACTAGACCTTGCAGTACACAAAACGGTGCATACTGGAGATAAGCCCTACAAATGTGTTGTATGCTTGAAATCTTTTTGGGAAAAACGTGATCTAGTAAGACACGAACGCACGCACACCGGCGAGAAGCCATACAAATGTGACGTGTGCCTGAAATCTTTTTCATCAAAATCCTATCTGGTAACGCACATACGCATGCATACTGGGAAAATGCCCTACAAATGTTTAGTGTGCCTGAAATCTTTTTCGGTAAAATCCCATCTGGTAATACACGAACGCATACATACTGACGAAAAACCGTACAAATGTGTTGTGTGCCAGAAATCTTTTTCGATAAAATGTAATCTGGCAGCACACGAACGCCTGCATACTGGCGAAAAGCCCTATAAATGTGTGGTTTGCCTGAAAACTTTTACCCGAAAATACACTTTGGTATCACACGCTCGCATTCATAGTGGCGAAAAACCCTACAAATGTGACGTGTGTCCAAAGGATTTTACACAAAAATATTGCCTCACAGTACATAAACAAGTGCATACTGGAGAAAAACGCTACAATTGTGACGTATGTTTCAAGCGTTTTACTAATACATACAATCTTACGGTACACAAACGCACGCATGCCACAGAAAAGTCATACAAGTGTGTCATGTGTCTGAAACCTATTGCGGTGAAATCCTACCTCGCTAAAAAACATAAACATGTATATTCTGGTAATAATCCTTGCGAATGCGAGGTTTGTTTCAAGTGTTTTGCTCAAAAATGTAACACAGCTCAACAAAAACCTAACCATGTTGGAGATTAGTCTAATCTTTATCAGTCATCCGTCTTTACCTACAATCTAAATGTAAGATTATTTTGTCTATGTGTTATGCATTACTTTATACTTGTTGTAACAAAAAATGAACCATTTTATAGACATTTAGTTAAAATATATTTTAGACATTTAATACTTTGTGTTGTACATTTTTCTGAATTTCTACATTTTATCGAACAATGTTTTATTTTTAAGTTTGGTTCGTTTAATGCATATGTCTACATGGTTTTGTTTTATTTACCCAATATTGTATCAAATGATTAAAATATATAGTATAACTGATACTATACTGATTTAGGCTCATTTATACTTAATCGTCCAATTTTTGTCATATTTCTATATTTTGTTTGTTACGTTGTTATAAATATGTTTTTCCTTATTGATACTGTTTATAATTTATAATTATTAATCTGTGGTCTACTTACTTGAATGTTACACGCTTGCCTTCGGGGCGTTAAATATATATTATAAACACTAGTACTGACTCGTGCACTTCATTAATATTAGTTTTTATTTTATATTATTAGATACGGCTAAATAAAAAATAGTGATATTCTAAATTGCAAACTTATTGGAACAAGATTTTGCAAGCTTGGACTTTGATGCTTTAGATACGAGTTATACCGTGATAATAAAATATTTTTGTACACATTGGTTGAAACATAGCCAATATATTATCATTTTTAGCCGTAGATATTAATGAAAGTTGCTTATATTTATGTGTAACGTAATATTATTAAAAATTATGCTCACAGAAATGGTTGCTTGAAAAACATTTAGCTTCTTTTTTTATTGAAGTGATATTTACAATCTATACAATATGTATATTATAATAAGTAAATGAGTTGATAAATGAGCGAATTGCCGTCAAATGCAAAAACTGTTGTTGCGTCCGCGAAAACGACCAGTTGTATTTGCTGTTTTGGGGGATGTCGGTTGTGAACACGTTGTATAGATCTGGAGATAAATCGCTTCCTTAGGGACCTCTTATTATATGGTCACTATATTTTATACTTGAATACTTCTAACTATACTTTCTAACAACACTATTATAAGCGTAGTATAAAAAATAAATAGCATTAAATAATAATGTAATGACATAAAAACGTAATGACAATAATTTGCTTTAGACCGACTGACTATAATAATTTATTTACAAAGTTATCTGTATATATTCTAATTAAAAATATATTTTCTATAACCTGTTGACCATTGTATTACTCACATTTTTTTTTTTTTTTAATTGCCTAAGGGCATTTTTATTTAAACGATAAAAAAATCTTTATAAATATAAATCAAAAGAGTATCAATACATACATACGATTACTCACATATAGCAATTCAATAATTACCACTGTTCAATACGTCAATGACCCTTTTTTTTTGGTTTTTCCTTAAATCAAAAAAAAATTGACTAAGTATTTTTTTTTTACACTATAGGACAATATTTGAAGTTGTATTTATTTCCAGTTATATCAACTAAAGTTTACAATTTAAGACGAGAGGTGTAGTGCGGTAGAGTAATAGTGGGAATATTTATTTATTTATTTATATACATTTATACGCCTCGAGGGCAAGACTATAGAACATTATAAAAAACAGTGATAATTGATACAACATACATATAGAACTATAGAAAAGCAAACAACAATAATGATAGTAACAATTATTGTCACAAAACTAAAAACAATATCTTCCGGAAAAAAAGAAGATGTAATGTATTTATAGTAATTTATAATAATTACGACAAGTAAGAGGGGTCAGAATTACTTAATGACATAGTGGTTCATTTAAATGATAATTAGGGGAAGACGAAGAAAGAAAAAAAGGAACTTTGTAGCGAGTAGAACGGGGAGGAACTTTGGAGAAAATTTTGGAAAGCAAATAAGGCAAGTCAATTTGTCCATGCAGTAGTTTGACTAAAAAACCAAGATTGTTCGCACGTCTACGATTACGGTGGTTATATATCCAAATCAAGGACACTCAATCTTTAAAGATATAACTTAAATACTTTAAAAATAAAATGTTTGTCGATCTCGCTCAAGCATTATACAGTTTTCCGCCGTATGAGGGTCTCAAAAAAACCAAACCATATTCTAAAATTGATCTAACCAGTGAACAATACAGAGCTCTCAAAGATGATAATAATTTGAACTCGGAGGGTACACGTTAAATAATTTGAATTCCTATTAAAATAATATCTCAATCAAATTAATTATCCGAAACTGGCTATTGGTCAGACAACATTTTCAGCAAATTATTCTTGATTCATATTAGGTAAATAAATGATACACCTTACTATTAAAGTACTAAAAGTGGTCAGAGCTCTGGAAAATACTATCTTAAATTAGCTATTCTAAGTTTTGTATATAATAATATTACTAAATCGGTTTTAAAATATATGTATACCTACATTTTAATAAACAAAATCAGGGGACAAATATACAGTGGTATATATTTTTTAACTTTTTAATTTAAAATGAACAAGAAAACGAATATACAAATAGATCAAATGGCACAATATATAACCAACCAAAATCCAAACAAAACTTCAGACGTTCCTATGCGATTTGTGTAAGAAATGTTTTTTTACCAAAAATACAATTCTCCGTCATATGATTACAGACAAATATGTATTCTTCTAAGAAGTATTTTTTCAAACAATTTTCCTAATGCTGGTTGCAAACTTATTGGACGGTATGATATTAGTAGGTGTTTTAGTTTATTCGGCTTAGGAATGATGGTTGCGAATTTCCAGATTATTGGAAAATATGATAATCTTAATATCGCATTATAGATGTAGGTCAGTAGAACTATGGTTTTTTGTGATAATTGTTATAACATTTGATTCTCATCTGGATGCTTTTTCAGGAGGGAGTTCTTTTTATTTATTATTCCAATACACCTGGTGAAGTACATTTGGTAGTAGAGCAATTAGTTAGAAAGGATCAGTTAGAAAGGATTAATTTAAACAAACTTCTAATAAATTGAAATATATGTGTACATATATATATATATATAAATAGCTGGAACAGAAAACTACCCTGTATCTACCCTCAATTATCTCTAGAGACTATTTGTAAATTTATATAACCGCCCAAAGAGCAAAAAGGGCTGGTCGTACCTCTAAATGAATTAACTAAACTCTCAAATTGCAACGTACAAAATTATTTATTAAAAAGGCTTAACGCCATAATAGTTGATTTGTAAGATGTGTTGTGTCTTGGTTGTTTCATACTTTGGCGTAGATTATTTATGAGTGGGTTTGAGGATACTATTGATGTGTAGTGTGACCTTGGGATTTATTGACAATGTTTGGGTTTTTCGGAGTACTATTTTTTTTTTTTTAGGAATTTTCTTAGACATAGTTGATTTTTGTTTTTTTGTAAGATCCTTGTAAACTTTGCATCCGCTATAGCTGAAGGATTGGAGACCCAGTGTCGATTGAAATTATTGTTAACCAGTCGATATCATTTCCACTATCAGAAAAAATATTCGTGGTATTGACTGATTGTAATGATGCTTGTATTAAATTGCAGTTTATTAGATAAAAACAGCGTAAACGTTATAGGGAAAACATGTTTTTAGTATAGAAGCTGAAGGCTAGGCGATGTACGAGTATACATATAGAAATAATATAATAAATTATAGTCAACACGATTAGGGTTGATTGTCTGTTTGTAATAAATTGTTGTTGTTGCTACCCATTTGTTGCAAATCAACTCTATAGAAGTATTTGTCGGATACCTGTTGCTTGTTTGTTTACTAAAACTGTAATTTCCCACACGGCAAAATATAATAGGTTAAAAAAATACAACTGTTTTCGACAATAACGAGTTCTTAAAAAACTCAAACAATTTTTTAAACAGCTGTTGCCTAGATATTTTTGAAAAAACGAAAAATAACGTACAAAAAAAATAAATAACTGAGTATTTTACTTTAAAACGTAAACAACTTTTAACCTAGACGATGAGTCAATATGAAAAAGACCAAAATTTTGTTTATCATTTAAAGCTAGTCTAAAAAATAAGAAAAACTGAGACATCACAGGTCTTTAAGAGTTACTATAGATAAGAGTGATAAAATCGCTTTCAAATAAACGTTTCGATGTATATCTGTGGACACTGCAACTCTTTTTGTTAATTAAAAATAGTGCATTATTTCCTAATAAACCATTTTTGAAAAAAATGACTTTAGAACCTAACACGCGATATGTATACATATATTGTGCATGGTAAACCTAGTATATTGTAATATATAGCATATATATTCTACAAAATATATCTTATAATACAAAATGAACATAGCTAAATGTATTCTTCTAAACCAAGTAACTTATGAACATGTTATATTATGAGATTTTTGCTTCGATGTAAATTGTTTTTTTTTTATCTTGGATTTTTTTTTAAATTATACATCTACGTATAACATACTAACAACTAAAGGGTTATTAATGTTTTATGTAAAACTTATTTGAACAGATAAGATTAAAACACATAAATAACATGTCGATAACAATTTAGCTCCCGTATTAGTATATCTTAAGGTATTATAATTGAATACTTTTGTATTATACTTTTTAACAACGACATAATAAGCGGAGTACAAAAAAAAATATCACTTAATGATGTGTAATGAGGTAAAAACGTAATGGCAAAACTTTAGATCGTCTGACTATAATAATTTATTGACAATAAATATATTGTAATTAACAATAATTAATGAAATTACGTTCAATTACCTGTTGACCGTTGTTTTAATAAATACAGTACTATGTTTTTCAAACTTATTTATTTAAACGGCACGATATTGTTTTTTCTAGAGCAGGACATAACCGAAATGAAAAATAAAACGAATAACATATACAAATAGATCAAATAGCACAGACTATGACCAACCGATATTCAAACAAACTTCAGACGTTCCTATGCGATTTGTGCAAGCAATATTTTTATATCAAAAAGCAAATTCTCCGTCATATGATTACCATCCACATATTATATTGAATATTTACATCCATATAAAATATATGCACAACAGTAAATGGGTAAACAGTAAAAAATAAAATTAATAATATAGCTTGAATAACATTTAGTAGGGGGCACCCTACTTTGAATTTTGAGTTAGTTTATCTAATATTTCTTTTTTATAACTTATAAGAGGTCTCTACATTTAATACCTTGTGTTTCAAATTGTTCTGCATTTCTACATTTTGTTTGTTTAATACATTTTATTAAACAATGTATTTAAGTTAACTTTATTTAAAGCATATGCCTACGTGGTTTTGTATTATTTACACAATATTGTATCACATATTCGAAATTTATAATATAAACACTAGTACAGACACGTGCAATTCATTAACCGTAATAACACAATTTTAGTTTTCATTTTAATTTATTAGGTATGACTTAATAAAAAATAGTAATATTCTAACAATTCTAAATTGCAAACTCTTTGGAAAAAGATTCTGCAAGCTTAGACTTTCTCTTTTAAAATACCTCATAATACATTCATAACTTTGTCCGTTTGAAAACAAGTAACACTGAGCAAAAATAATAAAATATTTTCTTATATATCAGTTGAAAAATAGTATCTTAGTAACCAGGACTTGTTAATGCTGAATATTAGAGGAGATAAGTAATGCTTTTAGTAAGTATTACTTTATACTTGTTGTGACAAAAAAAAAACGTCTTTTAGACATTTAATACTTTGTGTTGTACATTTTTCTGCATTTCTAGATTTTGAATCGTTTAGATAATAAACGTTTTGGTAAAAATAACATAATGATATAATTTATGTCCTTTGCCGTACCCAATACTTCTTTCTAACTATTACTATTTATTGCCATATTATCTATTCCTAGCAAGTTCATGTCTTTCTGCACACTATCCGTCCAACTCGGTTCTTGGTTTCCGTTTTCCTCTTAAATCACCCTCGACCATTGTCACCATGACTGATTTCCGTCAAACCCAGTTGAAGTATGGCATTTAAAATATAATATAATTTTGCCAATTTGAAAACCAGTACTATTAAAATAAACATTTGACCGTAGTCAAATTCTAGGCGATCATACTGTGTGAGTGAACTAACAGTCAACGGGTATTTGAAAATATTTGTTCAGTTGTATTAACTCATATAGACCTGTGACCTCCCCATCCCAATATTCTCCGTTCCCACTATGCCTCGCCTTCATAGTACTGATTTATAATTTTTAGTTGTAATTGAGTAAAAAGATAAGTATGTTTCATATAATAGGTACACGATAATAAAATATTTTCTTACACATTGGTTGAAGAAGAGCTAATTTATTTAAGGATTAGCAGTAGGTATTAATAAAAATTGTATTCATATTTATGCGAATATTAAAATTATAGAAAATCAAGTTTATAAGATAGGTTGCTTGAAAAACGTTTAGCTTCCTTTTTTTTATGTGAATTATTTAAGATAATATTTACAATCAATACAATATGTCTATTGTAATAAGTAAACGAATTAATAATAATAACATGAAAGTACATAGTTTGAATGGAATTTTTTAAATGTTGTAAAATTGGGCCTTTGTTCTTATCAAAACTTTTAAAATTGATAAATTTTATATTTGTTTAATAAAAAAAAAACAATTGTTCTGTGTACAAAATGTAACATTTTTATAATATTCTATTAACATGTTTTTAAAAAAAAAAAAAAAGAAGTGGAAAACCCAATTGGACCCTTAGTGTCTGAATTTTGAACACAGCCAATGGTGTACTGACATTATTATGTCTTTTTATTGGTTTGCATATTGCACTCTGGCTGGCTGCAGGCCAGACGACACGGCTCACCCCTCGGCCCTCATTAGTATTGCATCGTGCACTTTCCAAAGCCACCCCGTCAGACCTGCCGGGTGGATTATTGATTAATGTGTATTGTGTCAGCCAGACGGCCGGTAAGTCCTACCCACCGGTCCCGGCGAACCGTGCAGAATCCACCGCCGTGTTGTACATTGTACAGGTTAGTGTAGTGCAGTTGAAGTTTGCACCACTACAGTGTAATCGTTCTCTCGTTTCGTTGTCGTCGCACAAGAGCGTTGTGGAAAAAAAATCCCCAAACAAAACAAACACCGGTCGGCAGTTTCCAGGTAATTTTTAGACATAATACGCAACCTACTAAGTAGCATTAATTGCCAAATTGTAGATCATAATATAACTGATCAATCAGCTTCGATGCGTATCTGAAAACGTATTAGTATTACAATGATGTTCTTATTATTTATTTATTTTTTTTTTTTTTATCTATCCACGATGTCTTCCAAGCCGCTCGATCGATTTTATAGTGTAAAAAATCTATAGACCAGAAATCGTACATGAAATATATTATTATTGGCCCGAAAATTTCACCTAAAGTCGACCTCTTCCACTGAAAAAGCCCAAACAATTTACTTGTTTTTCAACTTGATACAGCGGTGCCCTAAAACTTTTTTAAAAACAGACAAATTAATTCAAAATTTGTATGAAATACTCTTTAGATAATGTACTACCGATAAACCGACCAATAAAAAATACCAAAAAATATTTTCCCTAAAAAGGATGGAAACTTTTTCTTTAGTTCTAGTAAATTTTTAGAGCTTAAGGTCTTAGGACCGTATTCATAGTCTGTTCTTAAATCTCTTTTAAAGTCTTACTTTCAAAAGCAATGCTTATGAATAAGTATTCATAAATAAGTTTAAGTTATACTTTTTAAAGTTATAAGTAAAAGTAATTCTCTTTTCATTTAAAGTCTGCGGAAATTGTATAAAACTAGTTAATTTAGACGCTAAAAGTCTGGATGTTTTTCACGCATCTACTGACAGTTGGCTGACTGATACCTACTAAACCTCCAGAAACAATCTATACAGGGTGATTCATTAAGGATAAGACACTAATTTTCTCGGAGTATATTAATATTTTGATCAATATTTTTTTCCAAAATTTTTTGGTACACATTGTACTATATTTTTCAATATTTTGAAAATTTTTACCACCAATCCTTGAAGGCCAAAAAGGGGGATTTTAGTTTTTTTTAAATGGCAACATATGTTTTTAATTACATAAATTTGTAGACAAAATATAAAAAATAAATTTTAGCGTTTGAATTTTCATTTATTTAATTATTAGCTATGAATTTGTTAAGATACTACATTTTCTCTTAATAATTATCATGTTTCTTCGGTTTTCCAAAACCGGTAGCCCATAAAGTTCATACTTATGTTCACATTGTCTATTGGCGATAACACTTTAACAAAAAAAAGTCACTGGTATAAAATACTGAAATAATGATAGACAAACGATACTTATCTACAGATTACCTAGTCCAACACAGGTACACAGGTTGGTTTTACGAATCCACTTTATCAAATTATTTTTATGCGTGTAATCAAACTATTCGTCTTTGTAGTAACGATTGAAAATATTAAGGAATACAGTCAAAAAATCAAATCTTTATAAAGTCATAAGAAATGAACAAATAAATGAAAATTCAAACGTTAAAATTATTTTTTTTATTTTTTGTCTACAAACGTATGTAATTAAACACATATGTTGCCATTAAAAAAAAACTAAAATCCCCCTTTTATGGCCTTCAAGGATTGGTGATAAAAAATTTTCAAAATATTGAAAAATATAGTACAATGTAAACCAAAAAATCTTGGAAAAAAATAATAATATATTCCGAGAAAACGAGTGTCTTATCCTTAATGAATCACCCTGTATACTTGTTGAAACAAAAAAAAAAATCTTTTAGACATTTAATACTTTGTGTTGTACATATGTCATTTTTTGTTGAATAGAATTAGTAATAGTCCGACTGACTAAAAACTGACTTCACCATCGCCATCATTGTGAAAAAACACACATTTTAAAGAAAAATAACTAGATTAGTTCCATATCGCGTTATAACAACAAAAAAAATGTTAATATTGTTAGGCGAATTTCAGAATTATGATAAAATTAAATATGGGGAGATAGACTAAATGAAGCAAATTTTAAAAGTTAGAACAAAAGGCAGTATGTAGCTGGTAAAATTAGGTAAAAAGAGTCGGATCGAGTAAAATTTATAAGGAAAATTTATTTGATAGGCCCTCACACGTCAATAGTCTCAAACTTAAATTATACCCATTTTCCATCTATCTAGGGGGGGGGGGAGGTGCAAGTTTTTTTGGGGTTTTTAGTCGTATTTTTTAGGATTTACAAGTTGAAAATTAACCAGTAGTTAGAACTCATATGTATCTATAACATATTAAACAAAGAAAAAATTCGGCACTACAGTTTTCTTTAATTGCCGGAAACTGTGTTTTACGCAGATATTGTATATTTTAACATAAACACCTTAAATCTTAAAAAATATTTATCAAATAAGTTTCAACACTTTTATGGACATCTATTCAGAATTATACTATTGAGTTTTGATACCCAAATACCAGCTTTAGGTTATAATTTAAATTTTTAACTTCATTAACGGTGTACCAGATGTGAGAAACTAAAAAATCAGTGTTATTTGGTTTTGTTTATGACGATTCCATTATCAATTTTTATTAATCAATAAAAACCAATTTGTCGTTATTTAATTATTACATAATTAAATGAATATGTATTTAATTAAGTCACAGTTGATAAAAAGTCGATTTGAACAGGACTCGTTTTTTTTGGCGGATTGGATGAATTTAATTTAATTATCTAAAAATTGCCAGCCATTTCGTGAGAAATTATAACATATAAGTTGATGATACTATAATAGTTATAATTATCATCTAATGTAAATTAGGTATGTAGATAAAATTATGACATTCAAAAAGTGATAGCTGATAAAAGTTTAATCCGGAAATATTTGAATTTTTTTTTTTGCAAAAGTGAAATCTACATTGATATTGTTTATTGATTATCGGGTTTTTCTTGTTATGTTCGACTAAGTGAACGTTTATTTCAAGTGCTATTGTTTTAGAAGCGTTGGAAGTGTTTGCCGAGGCAAATTCGTTCAGCTTGGTAAGTGACTTGCTATTAAGTATTTACTAGCTTCAGTATTGCTGATTCAATGAAATTGTTATTATTATTTATTTACATTTATCCTTATGGCGCCTTATGACAGAACAAAGTGGGTGCTAGAAATATCTCTCATGTTTTATGTTTTGTAAGCAAGTTATGGGTTATAGAAGTAAAAAACCTTTTTTTTTTTCAAAGACTACTAAATGTTTGTTAAGATTATGTTTGTATATTACATACAGGGTCCGGTTTCACTGTCGGACCATGTACTTGAAGTTAAACTTTACATACATATTAAACGTTAACTTATATGTGTTAGTCATGTGTCTGTGTTATGGAGTGTAATTGTTGACAGCTCACTATCAATTAGCCATAACCTTAGAAAAAAGAAATTGTAAGTACAAATTATAAAACTAAAAGCAAAACAAATTTATGAAATTATGAGATTATTTAATATAATGTTAACTAAATATTTCAATCAAAATAGCAAAACACTAATGCCTAAGCATATTGTTATACTGTTATTCATTTAAACACACGCTTTATTGTATGAATTATCCAATATTAGATAATCTGCTTCATGCTATTTAAAAAAATTTAGTTTATCGACTTCCAGCTCTGGTATTGTACAAAATATTTCATTATTTTATTACTATGTCCAAATAAAGATATATTTTAACAATAATCAAAAAACATGAATGATAATACTTTGTATTATGTCTAGATCAACTGTCGGGAAATTTAACTTTGTGATACTGCTCTTATACTATTATTAAAAAAGCCAATACATTGGGGTCAGCCCATAGTGGGGACGGAGAGATCCAAACCAAGCACAGTATAAATCAGCATATTAAGAAAGAATTAAAGTGAGAGAATTGCAGTGTTTAAAAATCGTTCATCAAAGCGTTTATTTGAGAGTGATTTTATATTAGGGTGACTTTTTTAATAATAATTCCTGTAGTCCTTTGATCTCTCCGTCCCCTCTATGCTTTGATAACAATATGCCTCGCCCCTACAGTATTAGTCTTCTCGGATAAAACCACTTTCAAAATAATGCTTTGATGCTAACCTGTAAACGCTGCACCTCACTTTAATTCTTTCTTTTATTAAAAAATAATAATCAACACGTCGATAAAAAATATTTAGCTCTCGTATTAGAATACCTCTTTATTTTATACTTAAGTACATTTATATTATAATTTTTATCAACACTATAATAAGCGGAGTATAAAAAAAATATCATTTATTAATAATGTATTGAGGTAAAAACGTAATGACAATACTGTGCTTTAGATCGTCTGACTATAATGATGTATTGACATAGTTATACATTCTATACCGTTATACACTATACGTTATGTATATATTCAATGTTTACAATGTAAATAATTATCAAAAGTCTGTTATAATAATTATATTAAACGTCTACAGCAGAATTTGTCAAGTAATCCAAAAGGGTTTTGGAAGTTTGTTAAGGACCGTAAACAAATAAAAGCATTACCCAAAACATTTAATGATAAATTTTCTAAAAATCCTGTCATAATTACTGAATTATTTAAATCATTTTTTGAATCAGTGTATACGTCCGTAGTAACCGTTAATCAATCTTTCTCCAATTTATCAACAAGTAATAATATTATTGATTTCTCTACGTGTACTTTATCTATTGCTGAGGTATTTGATGGATTGTCCATGCTAAAAATTGATTGTACAACTGGACCTGATTTAATACCATCTATTATTTTAGCTTCGATGCAAAGCGAGAAGGTATTGGTTTTACTCTGATGTGGGCTTTTTTTTTCGCTGTATACACTGTAACTTTTTTAATACTGGACCAATTCCTTCGAGTAGCAACTCTATAAATCACAAATTTTATCTAGTTGGTAATTTGGGGGAGTAAAAGTTGAAAAAGTTTAATTCTTCACAGACGAAAGTTGAAAAAACAAAAAAAAAAACCGTACGAGTTTTTAAGTTAGAACTTTTACTGGCTATAATTTCAAGAAAAAAAGTCGGACCGAGTTGAAATGTATAAGAAATAATTATTTGGTATGCCCGCATACGTCAGTTGTGTCAAACTTAAACTATACCTATTTCCCACCCCCCTACGGGGGTTACAAAATATTTTGTTTTTCGGGGTTTTCAGCCGTAATTTTAAAACTTTTGGGTTGAAAATTTGCCAGTAGTTGGAACTCATATGTATTCATAACATATTAAACGGGAATAATATTCGCCACTACAGTTTTTTTTAATTGCCGGGAAACTGTGTTTTCGCAGATTTCGTATATTTTAACAAAAACACCTAAAATCTTTAAAAAAAATTGATCAATTCATTAAAACAATTTTATGTATATCTATGCAGAATGGTACTATTAGGTTTTGTGCTCAAGTACCACTTTTGACTTAAAGTTTACACAAATTCAATTTTTTTTTTTTTTACTAAAAACCCGGTGTACCAGATGGGAGAAACGAACAGACACTAAAAACTATCAGTTAGTAACGTCTATCCGTGTTAGATTAGGTTAAGGCCCAATATTCGGTATCATAATATTTATTAATTACATGATATCACAGGCGACAAAAATCGTGTAACTGATTATAGTAGACACTCGATTTATTGGGGAAAAAACCTTTGTACTATTACTATTAAGATAAATTTTAGTAATAATTAAGTCATAAATGATAATATTTTATTTTATGACTAGATCAAATCTCGTGAACATTTAACATCATGATACTGCTCCTATGCTATTATTAAAAAAACACAATTTTTAAAATCTCCATAAAAGGTTATTGTTAAATAACAGGCAACAGCCGACCGCTAGTGGCTATACACGTTAGTAATATTTAACTAATAAGTAATATATGTAGGTAAAATTTATTGTTTTCTCCATCACAGTACCAGTATACGCTTTATTTTAATTTAAATTTAAGAAAATCGATTTTTCTTTAGAAAATAACAAGAAATTAATATACAGGCTGAGGCAATAAAACGGCAATTTTCTAATGTATTTAAATGGGAAAACCCGTTTCACTATCCCACCCTTTACATTTTAAGGATCTATGAAAAAGTTTTTTTAGTTGCATTTTATTTTGTACATTGTCAATCTAGTAAAATAGAAGTATAATATAGCTTTGAAATAATATAATCTATGAAGTATAAATAGTTTGTGTGAGATTGCTTTAATGGAAGTATATAATACAAAAATTATTATTTTTTTGAGAATAAGCGATTATAATTTAAACTATGGAGTACAAACGATTGGAACATGAATCGTCGACCATTCCAACAAAATATAACAAGACATTGTATATGTGTTACTTGGTCCACTACGTTTTTGCAAAAAAAAAAACCAGCACAGTGGGGTCGATGCATAGTGGGGACAGAACAAAGTTGGGTCGGGGCATATTGGGGACGGGGAGGTCACAGGTTTACAGGAATTTTTAAATCTGAAAGTGATAAAATCACTTTCGAAAAAACGCTTTGATGCAAATCGGTAGTTAGTATTTTCAAGTCAGTACAGTCCAAACCAAGCACAGTATAAACCAGCAAAGTTAGAAAGTTTTAAATGAAGGTTCTGTATTTACAAATGAGCATCAAAGCGTTTATTTGAAAGCGATTTTCATCAATTTTATCACTTTTATTTATAATAATTCTTGTAGACCTGTGACCTCTCCGTTTCCTCATTGCTTTGATTACATTATGCCAATACTCTACTGTACTAGTCCTCTCAGATAAAATCACTTTCAAATTAACGCTTTGATGCTCATTTGTAAATACAGAACCTTCATTTAAAACTTTCTAACTTTGCTGGTTTATACTTTGCTTGGTTTGGACTGTACTGGCTTGAAAATACTAACTACCGATTTGCATCGAAGCGTTTTTTCGAAAGTGATTTTATTACTTTCAGATTTAAAAGTTCCTGTAAACCTGTGACCTCCCCGTCCCCAATATGCCCCGACCCAACTATGTTCCGTCCCCACTATGCACCGACCCTACTGTACTGGTTTTTTTATTACTGTAAGTACCTTTTGTTTGCCGGTGACTTAAAGCTTTATCTGGAAATAAATAGTGTCAATGATTATAGGAAACTGCAAGCTGATTTGGATAGATTCCAAGAGTGGTGCAGTAATAACTCCCTTTTTATTAATGCCCTTAAATGCTCCCAAATCACATTTTGTAGGAGCAAAGAAACACCTGTTTTCCATTATAATATTGACGGTATTGCGCTGAATATAGTTACTCATATAAAGGATTTAGGTATAATTTTGTCAAGTGACCTGTCATTTAAGGAACATATTTCGCACATAAAAAATAAGACTTTAAGGATGTTTGGATTTTTAAAAAGAAACTGTTTTGAGTTTAATGACCTTAAGTGCTCAAAAACTTTATACTGTTCCCTTGTTAGGTCAATTGTCGAATATGGCTCGATTATATGGTGTCCTTATCTAATTGGACAAGTCAAAGATCTCGATAAAATACAAAACCCATTTCTGTATATGCTAAGGATTAAGTAAGGGATGCTGGATTCTAGAATAGATGACATAGCAGTTGAGGTTAATTTGGATTCGCTTGCCAAAAGAAGATTTAATAATGACATCAAATTTATTTATAAGTTATTAAATAATGATATTGACTGTCCCGAGCTTTTAGCCCATATTCCTTTTAATGTTCCAACACATCATACCATCCTCCTTTCCTCTCCTTTCCTGTATATTTCTACTCAAAAACAAGACTATAGTACGCATGCTCCTCTGAATAGGATTCTTTCTAACTGCGATACTTTAGGTAATGTTGATTTTTATTTCGACTCCCTCCCCAAAATTCTTGCTCAAAAATATTATATGTTTTATTAATATTATTATTTTTGTTTATAATATTTTATTGTTAAAATTTAATTTGTATTAATTTAGTTATGTTGTAATTCTATTGGTTAAAGTGTTAATTTACTGTTTAATTTCTGTACTGCATGCCTATATGGGCGCAATTAGTAATTTATTTGCTTTATTTGCTTCTAATAAATTATTATTATTATTACATTCTAATACACAAATATATTATAATTAACAATAAATGAAAATATTTTCAATTACCTGTTGACCGTTGTTTTAATCACATATAGCAAGTCAATAATTACCACTAATCAATATCCCATTTTTAGAAAATTCCGGAAAATATTAACAATGTTATTTTTCCAGTTATATCAACTAAAGTTTAAAATTGAAGACGGGGGTGTAGTGCGGAAAAGTAAAAGCGAGTAAAAATATAAACATGTTTCGTATAATAGTTATATCATGATAATAAAATATTTTCTTACATTTGGTTGAATAATAGCTAATATACTGTAATGATTAACAGTAGGTATAAAACAAAAGTGTACTTATACTATAGTGGTAGCTGGGTACCTGGTAATGCCGAATATTAGAGGAGATAGTAATACATCACCAGCATACGCTGTGTGGTCAGGATAGTCAGTTTTGTATAGTTTGTACAATTGTACCCGAACATTTTATTTTGTGGGTGTTAGATGTGTTTTAGTGATAAAGGATATATTTTTTTTTTTTTCGTAAAGTAAATTTTGTAGATAATATTTATGTTGGGTTACTCCGTTTGCATTCCAGAGGAATATGGTGATCAATTCAGATAAAATATATTAGAGAAATTCTTTTTTTTTAAATTATTTTCTTAATGACTGAGGTGAGAAGTGTATTCAACGGGTTGATTAATGATTTTAAGTCGTTAATAAACGATGACAGTTGATTTGTAATATTTGTTATGTCTTGGTTGTTTTGGTTGTTTAATACTTAAGCGTAGATTTTTTGTGAGTGGGGTTAAGTATACTCTTGTTGTGTGGTGTGACCTTGGCATCTGAGCTATTGTATAAATGAAGGTGAGGATGTGGTCCTCCTAAAACAAATGTAGTTTAATTAAGTAACATTAGTGTTTTGATCGCTTGGTTTAAAGTCGACAAAGAATAAGGGTAGTGGTAATTTAGTTCGACTACTCGTAGAGCGTTGAAACCAAGACGTGATAACTCTAATTTTATAACTTTAATCGAGTTTACAATATATGGGTTTATAAGAGTAGTTATTTTTTATTCAGCATTTTTTTGGACATAATTGATTTTTGTAATTTGTAAGGTCCTTGTAAACTTTACATCATCCGTATTCATTCTAATAAATAAAAATATTGTAATTAGCAATTAACAGATATATTTTCAATTATCTGCTGGCCGTTGTTTTACTCACATACAGCAATTCAAAAATTACTTCTGATCAATGTGTCAATATCCCTTTGTTTGTGGGGTTTTCTTTAATTAAAATAAGTTTGACTAAAGTTGACATAGTATTATTTTACACTGTAAGACTATTGTCTTCAAAATTTTATTTTTTTCCAATTTGTTATATCAACTCATGTTTATAATTAAGACGGAAGGTGAAGTACAGCAGAGTAATAGCGCACTTATAAAAAATGAACTATCCAGTACTGGCTATTGACCAATCAACGTTTTTGGCAAATTATTCATAATATAATTAAGTAAATAAATAATATACCTAGCTATTAAAGTTCTAAAAGTGGTCAGAGCTCTGGAAAATAATATCTTCAATTAGCTATTCTAAATTTTTGTATAATAATATTGCTTAATCATTTTTAAATATAAATATACCGATATTTTAATGAATAAATACTGTAATATGTTTTTATAAACTTTTTTTTTTGAACGGCATAATATTGTTTGTTCTAGTGCAGGACCTAACCGAAATTATCAATCAAACGAATATACAAATAGATCAAATGGCACAAACTATAACTAACCAACATTCAAACAAACCTCGGACGTTCCTTTGCGATTTGTGTAAAAAATGTTTTTTTACCAAAAAGCAAATTCTCTGTCACATGATTACCATCCACAGTACTGCAACGGCTAATCGTCCACTCAAAAAACCGAAGTCTGATAAAAAGCCTTACAAGTGTGGAGTTTGTTTAAAAAATTTTACGGCGAAATGCAGTCTGGTAACGCACACACGGCTGCACACGGGCGAAAAGCCCTATAAATGTGTTGTATGCCTGAAATCTTTTTCGATCAAATCCTATCTGGTAATACACGAACGCACGCACACTGGGAAGAAGCCATACACATGTGCCGTTTGTTTAAAATCATTTACGTCGAAATCATATCTGGCAACGCACATACAGCTGCATACTGGCAAAAAACCCTACAAATGTGTTGTATGCCTGAAATCTTTTTCGGTAAAATCCTATCTGGTGACACACGAACGCACGCACGCTGTGGAGAAGCCATACAAATGTGACGTTTGTTTTAAATCATTTACGGCGAAATACAGTCTGGTAAAACACCAAAGCGTGCACACTAAAGAAAAGCTTTACAAATGTAAAGTTTGTTTAAAGTGTTTTACGGAGAAAAACAGTCTGGTAAGACACCAAAGCGTGCACCCAATAGAAAGGCTTTATAAATGTGGGGTTTGTTTAAAATCTTTTGCGGCGAAATCCAGTCTGGTAAGGCACGTAAGCCTGCATACGGGCGAAAAACCCTATAAATGTGTCGTATGCCCGAAATCTTTTTCGATCAAATCCTATCTGGTAATACACGAACGCACGCACACTGGGAAGAAGCCATACACATGTGCCGTTTGTTTAAAATCATTTACGTCGAAATCATATCTGGCAACGCACATACAGCTGCATACTGGCAAAAAACCCTACAAATGTGTTGTATGCCTGAAATCTTTTTCGGTAAAATCCTATCTGGTGACACACGAACGCACGCACGCTGTGGAGAAGCCATACAAATGTGACGTTTGTTTTAAATCATTTACGGCGAAATACAGTCTGGTAAAACACCAAAGCGTGCACACTAAAGAAAAGCTTTACAAATGTAAAGTTTGTTTAAAGTGTTTTACGGAGAAAAACAGTCTGGTAAGACACCAAAGCGTGCACCCAATAGAAAGGCTTTATAAATGTGGGGTTTGTTTAAAATCTTTTGCGGCGAAATCCAGTCTGGTAAGGCACGTAAGCCTGCATACGGGCGAAAAACCCTATAAATGTGTCGTATGCCCGAAATCTTTTTCGGTAAAATCCACATTGGTAATACACGAACGCACGCACACTAGCGAGAAGCCATACAAATGTGACGTGTGTCTAAAGTATTTTAGCCAAAATACTAACCTTACCATACACAAACGTATCCACATCAGAGAAGAGTGTATTGAATGCTTAAAATCTTTGACCCCAAAAGACAGTCTGGCTGGACACAAATGTGTCCATATTGATAAAAAACCATACAAATGTGATGTGTGTCTGAAGTTTTTCGCACAAAGTTCTGACCTTATCTTACACAGACGTGTCCATATCGGAAAAAAATGTAACGCGTGTTTAAAATATATGACTATAAAAGACTACCTGGCTGGACACAAATGTGTCCGTATTGAAAGAAAGCCATACAAATGTGTTATGTGCTTAAAACGTTTTACAAATAAAGGAAACCTCGCAATACACGAAGGAGTGCACACTAAAGAAAAACCTTACAAATGTACCGTTTGTTCAAAGTCTTTTATGACGAAATCCATCCTGTTAAGACACCAAAGCGTGCACACTAATAATAATCCTTACAAATGTGCCGTTTGTTACAAAGCCTTCAAGGAAAAATCTAATATGCTAAAGCACTCACGGCGGCATACTGGAGAGAAGCCATACAAATGTGCTGTGTGCCTGAAATCTTTTTCGGTTAAATCCTGCCTGGTACAGCATGAACGCATACACACTGGCGAGAAGCCATACAAATGTGACGTGTGTCTAAAGTGTTTTACACAAAAAGCAAACCTCGCAGTACACAAACGATCGCATACTGGAGAAAAGCCTTACACTTGTGACGTGTGCCTGAAATCGTTTTCGAAAAAAACTCACCTGATTACGCATGAACGCACGCACACTGGAGAAAAGCCTTACAAATGTTTCGTGTGCCTGAAATCTTTTTCGGTAAAATCCAGTCTGGTCATACACGAGCGCCTGCATAGTGAGGAAAAGCCTTACAAATGTGCTGTGTGCCTGAAATCGTTTTCAATTAAATGTAATTTGGTAGCACACGAACGCTTGCATACTGGCAAAAAACCCTACAAATGTAGTGTTTGCCTGAAATCTTTTTCGGCGAAATTTAGTTTGGTATTACATGAACGCATACACACTGGCGAGAAGCCATACAAATGTGACGTTTGTCTAAAGTATTTTTCACAAAAAGCAAACCTCGCAGTACACAAACGGTTCCATACTGGAGAAAATCGCTACACTTGTGACGTGTGCCTGAAATCTTTTTCGATAAAATCCAATCTGGTAGCTCACAAACGCATCCATACTGGAGAAAAGCCTTACGCTTGTGACTTATGCCAGAAATCTTTTTCGACAAAAACTCATCTGGTTACGCACGGACGCACTTACACTGGAGAAAAGCCTACAAATGTGCTGTGTGCCTGAAATATTTTTCGGTTAAATCCTGCCTGGTACAACATGAACACATACACACTGGCGAGAAGCCATACAAATGTGAAGTTTGTTTAAAGTGTTTTAAACAAAAATCAAGCATCGCATTGCACAAACGCATGCATGCCGCAGAAAAGTCATACAAGTGTGTCAAGTGCCTGAAACCTATTGCGGTGAAATCCTACATTTCAAAAAAACATAAACATGTCCATTCTGGAGGAAATCCTTGCGAATGCGAGGTTTGTTTCAAGTGTTCCAAAATAAAACCGGGGTCGACATAAACGTGACCATGTTGGAGAACAGTCAGATCTTTATCAGCCATAATTTCCTTATCAGTCTTTACTTACATTTTAAAACTAAGATTTTTTTTTTTGTCTTGTGTGTTATTCATTACTCTATACTTCTTGTAAAAAAAAATATCTCTTAGATATATTATATTACTTTGTATTGTACTTTTTTTCTGCATTTCTACATTTTGTTTGTTTCATAAATTATATGAAATCATATTTTATTTTAAGTTTGGTTTATTTAATGCATATGTTTACATGGTTTTGTTTTGCTTACACAATTTTTGTATTACATATTTAAAATTAATAATATACACATTAGCAATGACCCGTTTACTTCATTAATTTTAGTTTTTATTTTATATTTTTAGGTACGGCTAAATAAAACATAGTGATATTCTAAATTCTAAATATAAAAAGATAAGTTTGTCTTGTTTAATAGTTATATCGTGATAGTTAAATATTTTGTTATACATTGGTTGAAAAGTATTCAATATATTATCATGAATAGCTGTAGGTTTTAATAAAAATTGTTCTAATATTACAGGTATAGTTCTTATCTTGGTAGCTGGGTATTAGGTCATTTTGGTAGCTGGGTATCAGCACTAGCATGTGTCGTCCGGTAAGGATGGTGAGTTTTGTTCAATGTCTATTTTTTTTTGCG